CAGATCACTTCTGCCGAACGTTGATGAATTAGATGCTATTCTTAAATTAAATCATGCCAGTTTGGCTTTTATCACAGAAACATGGCTAAACGAAAACATTGACGACGCCGCAGTTCAAATACATGGCTACTCCTTGATACGTCGTGATAGAAAATCTAGGACTGGAGGAGGGGTGTGTGCTTATATAAAGTCGCAGATCCCCTTTAAAATTCTAACTTGTTTGCAAGATGTTTGTTTCGAAACTCTTCCGAGGACTCTCATGTTTGGTTGTCTGTGTGGTTTACCATCCACCATCCAGCGACAACAACACACTAATCGAACACCTTACCATAAAGCTTGATGTTGTCCTCTCCATGTACCCAAATGCTGGCATAATAATAGTTGGGGATTTTAACAAATGTCCAGTTTCCACAATACTCAGACATTTTACTTTAAAACAGATTGTTAAACAACCTACGAGAGGGAATGCTATTTTGGATTTAATTTTGACAAACATGTCAGACTTTTGTAACATCCCCTTGGTAATCCCACCCGTTGGGCGCAACGACCACAATTCAGTGTTATGCTCATATAAGGAAGGTTCAACTAAAACCGCCCACACGAAAGTAAAAATCAGACAGGGAAATAATGCTGAAAAAACTGCTTTTGGAAAGTGGTTAACCGATTTTAATTGGACCATTTTATACCGCACTATTTCATGTGAACAAAAATTAGACCTCTTCCAAGACATCATAAATGCCGTATTGGATCGTTTCCTTCCGATAAAAACTGTAAAATTACATGATAATGACAAACCTTGGATAACTCCTGAATTTAAGAAAATTATCGGAACCAGACAAAAGGCTTTCCATCATGGAAGAAGTCCACATTATCAGCAGTTACGAAATCAGGTAAACAGAGAAAGTAAGAAGCTCAGATCCACATTTCTTGAGAAAAAGTTAGAACAGTTAAAGCTAAACCCTACCCCAAAAAAGTGGTGGCAATCAATAAAACAGTTATCAGGATATCCTAAGAAGAAAGTCCTTTCAACTCTTGTCGTGGGAAATCAGGTGATGTCAGGAAAAGCCCTGGCCGAAAATATTAATGACGCTTTTGTTTCAGTTACGAAAGAAATCCCTGCTTTAAATCGTCTTTATACCGACATTTTACCAGGAAACAGCCATTATGACATTTCACCAGAGTTTATCATTAAAGAAGAAGAGGTATACAATAAATTATCCATTATATCAACTGCTAAATCTCCTGGTCCAGATGGAATACCAAACTGGGTTTTGAAGTTCTACGCTTATGTACTTGCTTCCCCTGTTGCATCAATTTTTAATGCTTCCATCCAACAAGCGACTGTTCCGACCATGTGGAAAAAAGCCAATGTCATCCCAATTCCAAAAATAGCTTCGCCTGAGGACATCACCAAAGATCTTCGCCCCATTTCGCTTACACCTACCCTGTCTAAAACCTGTGAACAGTTTGTTACCGATTGGCTACTTGAGTATATAAACGAAAAGATTGATAGACGGCAATTTGGTTCTTTAAAAAATTCCTCGACAACTCATGCCCTATTAAGCTTCGTTCATCACCTGTTATATGAAACTGATACATGAAAAACCGCTGTAAGGGATTTTTTGCTCGATTTTTCGAAAGCTTTCGATCTTATAGACCACAATATCCTACTGTACAAGTTATATGAAATGAAGGTACCATCGACAATTACAAACTGGATTAGAAGTTTCCTTTTTGAACGCAAACAACGCGTCAAGATAGCTAACTGTGTATCAAATTGGCAAACTTTAAACGGAGGTGTGCCACAAGGAACAGTTCTTGGGCCAATACTTTTTCTCGTTTGATAAACGACCTTCTCACAGACTTGAATAACAGATGGAAATACGTCGACGATAGTACTATCACTGAAAGTATTACACCGGATATCAATAGCATTCTCAAAGAACTTGTGGATACTATTTACAATTGGACCATCGTTAATAATATGAAACTGAACATCAGTATATAAATGCAAAGAATTGATAATAGACTTTGCAAAAGATAAACAGGAATTCCCACCTTTAATTATAAATGGCGTTGCTGTGGACCGTGTATCATCAGCTCGGGTTCTGAGACTAATTGTTCAGGATAATATGAATTGGAACGAACACGTATTATTAAACAATGTTGTCAAAAAAGCAAGAAAAAGACTCTACATGCTGAGAGTGCTGAAACGATCAAACGCGGATACGAACACGTTAATCACTGTGTACACCACTACTATAAGGCCTGTCCTTGAATACGCCTGCCAAGTCTGGCACTTTAACATCCAAGAGTATTTGAGCGAAGACATTGAAAAGATTCAGCGGCGTGCTTTGCGAATCTCGTTGCCATTAATTTTAGAGTTAAAGAGAAGCACGGAATTTTACTGGCATCCCTTTACTAAAAGCAAGGAGAGAAACATTATGTGAACAATTTTTTAAAAAGAATGAGAATAACGATAAGCTAAGCGAACTATTGCATCATAAAGCAACAGCAGACTACGATATGCGACCAAGATGCAAGTATAACAATTACCTATGTAGAACTGAACGTTTTAGGAAATCGTTTTTTCCTCAAATTATTTCCAAAGAAAACAGTAAATAACTGAGTAGAAGTATAGGCCTATTGTTTTTTGCTGCTTTTGAACTCTTAATATTCTTAAAAATGTAATATAACGATAACTTAATACTTTTTAACAGTAGATACAAATTTTGTAAATTTCTGATGTAATTTAACCTATTGATTACAAAATCAGTTTTTAAATAAATTATGAATTAATTATAACCAACAGAGTTACAGAGGGCAGCTGTCGAGCTCTAACCACTCTAACCACAAGTTCATGTATATATATATATATATATATATATATATATATATATATATATATATATATATATATAGTTTTTCGTTTTACCTCAAAAACCCACAACAGTCTGTTTCACCCGTATAGGAATCATCAGGTGGTGAATAATTGCGAAATTGTGGGTTGCTTTTATGCTAGTACGATAGTACTATCACTGAAAGTATTACACCGGATATCAATAGCATTCTCCAAGAACTTGTGGATACTATTTACAATTGGACCATCGTTAATAATATGAAACTGAACATCAGCAAATGCAAAGAATTGATAGCATAAAAGCAACCCACAATTTCGCAATTATTCACCACCTGATGATTCCTATACGGATGAAACAGACTGTTGTGGTTTTTGAGGTAAAACGAAAAACTATATTACGCTCTATCTACAGTGTGTATCAAAATAATTCGAATCCAAATTTGACAGACTGCTGTTTATAAAATACTAAAGTAAACCATATAATTTTTATATGGCAATAAAGAATAGCCTATTAGGTTTCCGATTATATCGTTCTTGTATCAATAAGATAAAAAATGACCAAGAAATCGTGTGTTAAAACTGGTTGCTCGAAATCAAATTTTTCCGCCGATGGGAATTCGAAGTGAGACGTACAAACAAAAGATAATGCAAATTTAATTAATCAACAAACTGTTATGTAGCAACATTTACATAAATTCGTGTTCATTTAAAGAGATTTAAGCTCCTATGCCTTCAACATGTTGAACGAGAAGAAATTCGCGTTAAATTTGCATTTTAGTTTTCAGTGATGATTAGCATTTCAAAGCCTTGTGGGACTAACTTTGAAAGAAAAAATGTCCAATTCCCATCTGCGGAAAATTGTGATTTTTATGGACTTTTTTTGTCAAAGCAATACTCCTTCATTTTCCAACTAAATGACGCGTACAGCATGTCATTTGAAAGGTAAATAAATGAACTTAACAATGGTGTAAAAACCAACCGAATTTGTCAAATATATTCTGCGTTATTACACGCCAAATTTGGATTCGAATTATTTTGATACACACTGTATATGGTATTGAGCACTGTTTCATGTGTTTCGTAAACCAAAATCTTAAGCTATATATATATATATATATATATATATATATATATATATATATATATATATATATATATATATATATATATATATATATATATATATATATATATATACTAAAGTACTGGCATGTATAGGTTATAGGTAAATATCAAGATCTTGTTGGCATCCCAGTCTATTGAGTAGCGGGCGGAAATTTATATATATTTATTAGACCCTTCAATTATTCTACTAGACCTTCAACTATTATTCAATCGACTGAAATGCAAACAAAATCTTGATATTTATCCGTAGCCAATACATGGCGGTATGGGGGTAGTATAATTATATACATGAACTTGCGGTTAAAGCTCGACGACCACTGGAGTCTGTAGCTCAGTTTGTAAGAGCGCTGCAACGGAATCACAGGGCCGCAGGTTCGATTACAGCCAGGGACCTTTATAGCTGCATTTCTCGCAGCTGTTCCAGTTTAGGTCTAACAGATGTATATATACTTTTTTAAACGATAATTTTCATTTACAACAGCAATAAACTACTATTCAAACCAGTCATGAGATGCCAATAAAAAACTTGCTATTTAACATCAATATATATAAACGCACTTTTTAATGAATATTTGGGAACTGCCCCGTGCAAATAATAATTGCCTAATAAAGTTTTATCAGATGATATGCTTTACTATAGGTATTGGAGATGTGTTGATTAGGCCATATTGGTATGATCTCATTAGTATGCATTGGTAAACCTAAAAGAGTTGATTTGTGGTGTTCACACCAAAATGGCCGTTATTTTCTTTATTTGGACATACCAGATTAACTCTCATTATACTAACTTTGAGATCCGGGGTTGAGTGACCTAACTGAATCTGTTTCTAACATTATGTAGGCTATTGTAAGAGAATAAGTAGCAACCCTTTTCCCTAGAATACTTTATTGGAATATTATCTGCATGCCAGTTGTTGTACAACACCTCCCGTATAATGACTCTTATAAAGAATCAACTCATAATGACAATGAGTCATACTTTATACATTCAATTATTTGGTCAAATATCACGCACTTACTTGATAGAAATGACTTCACATCCAGTTAAGTTAGATGCAAATTTAGTCTTTTTGAACAACTTCTTCACCTGTGAAATATCAATAAAATGATCAATAATGATATAATTTATCAATGCAATTTCTTCTGAAAACTATATTTTTTGCTATAAGAAATCAATCACTTACAGCCGCTTCCACCTGTTCAGCAAATTGCAAATACTGAAGGCTATTGCAGTCATTGTAGGCAGGCATAAACTCCCGATTTTCCACAACAAATGCACACTTGAATGTAAACACATCTAAATAAAAACAACAAAGATACTAATAATTTATACAAATGAAAAAATACACTACTAATTGGTTAATTGAAATACGAAACTTGCATTGAGATCACTTAGAACAGTAAGTATGGAATTTATAACATATCAATCCTGTTAGAATAGTAAACATTGAACTTATTACTTATATAATGTACAATGGGCAAGCTCCTGTCTTAAGAAAAAATCAAAAATTCGTATTCACTTTGAAATGTCATAGAGAAAATAGTGACATTTCAGCAGGCCTCCTGATTAAGTCAATTCTAAATACGCTTAAGAAATTCTTGCAAACAAATTTTTATACATGACATGTACAAATTTTTATGCTTTTTATGCTTACTTTTAAGACAGTTTTATAGCGCGTCAGCTATGTTTTCGCAGGACACCTTTTAACTAGAAAATACATGCATGCATGCAGAAACCCTCGCCTTGCTGACAAAACCATTGTATTTTCCGAAAATGAAGTTTCTAAAGTAGTTTTCATGGTAACACGATCATTTTTTAAGAATATTTTTACAAATGAAAAATCGCCTAAAAATATCACTTTTAATTACAAAATTATCATTTCCCAACATATATGTATATGTTAGGTATGTTATTATGCGTAATATAAGCTTCAATTTAATTAAGATAAAATTCAACCACAAACGCTTCGCAAAACGTTTTAAAGTGTTCTTTATAAAACTAAACTGCCTTTAATTAAATGTCATTATCGATAAACTTTGAGTTTCCAATAAAATGATTTCAAATTCTCGCATGCACATAAATTTGCTTTCTTTTTAATTTAAAAAATTCAATATAATAAAAAAGGGAGTCAATATTAAAGATACACTGAAATTATATGCTGTCTTGTTTAGTTGTTTCATATACGCAAAGGCCGTCGATCGAGTTTTAAAGCAATTATAAAATCAATATTTAAAACAAACTTACCTTCGTTAACGTCGGCTCCCCTCTTTTAGCCGATTCTTTCGCCCTTTCTTTCTGAGAAAGCTTTTGAAATTTATAAAATCTTGCAAAAATACGGGAAAAAATGAAATATATTTGCAAGAAATTTATCAATCATCAAATCAAGAGATGTATGCTATTTCGCTGTCTTCATGCAGTCGTTATAATGCAAACTTTAAATGGACCAATCAGTGTCCGCTATTTATGACAGTCCGCCATATTTTTGAGATCAGTGCGGATGCCCACCCATCGTTGGTAAGCCACGCCCGCGATCATTGATGAACTTTAGACTTCGCTGATGCTTTCGTTTCCCTGGGTGTAAATAGCCGGGGGGGATTAGTACCCTCGCACGGGGCTTCGCGCCGTCGGCTCGGGGATAAAACGATTAATATACATTTTGTTTTTACCGCCATGTTTGATGACGAATTAAATTTCTAATAAACCAGATATAAACAATATCAAGGAATTTACTGTGTAAAATATTGCGTTTGAGGAACATTTTGTAAACATATGAATGGAGCTTTATGTTATTCACGTGGTCAATAAGAATTATATTAGGCTACCATCTTCTCTTAATTAGTTTTGGTTTTGAATTGCGTAATTTTAGGAACACACCACTCAGTAAATTATTTTTTTCGTGTTAAAAATCCATTCCTGTGATAAGTCAATACCACCCTCGTCCCAGGCGCTTTGATGTGCTAAGCGGTTGCGTGACGCACGCGCGGGAATCGAGGTGCGTATAGCTCACTACGGGACGCGGAAGCGCTTCGCAGAAAACGTGTCGATTTGTGAGATTTCTGTCAATTTCTGAAATTCCAACCCATTGTTCACTTTTCTGGATTTTTAACGTATTTTGCTTTCTTCACGATGGAAGTATGGACGAGATCGATGAATCCTTTCAATATATTTCTTTTGAAGGTAAATTTGTAAGAATTTTTCTCGTATATTTTATATACATTCCAATATGATTTCTTGATTTATGTACTTTTGTTTGTGATGTTACTCTGATCGAGTGTATATCCACACCGGATAGTAAAGTTTTGAATATTGATAAGAATGATAACTATATAACTAGAAAATACATGCATGCAGAAACCCTCGCCTTGCTGACAAAAACATTGTATTTTCCGAACATGAAGTATCTAAAGTAGTTGTCATGGTAACACGATAATTTTTTAAGAATATTCTTACAAATAAAAAACCGCCTAAAAATATCACTTTTAATTACAAAATTATCAATTTCCCAACATATATATGTTAGAGAGTGTTGATGGGGTATATTGTGAGTCGTGATTATTGCTCAATTTCGGTTACCGTCACATGGTGAAAACACTAAAAATTTAGCGTGAATCGGGAGGAAAAAAATACTGTTTATCGAGATTAATACAAGTTCTTTTGAATGTTCAAAACGCAAGAGTAGTGGTGCACTAGCACTTGCCAGACCTAACTGGCAGAAATAACAATTACTTTTCTCTATAACTTTGCATGTGGGAATGTGTTATATATGTACTACAAGAAATGGCCCAAGGCATCAAAATGTGGAACCGCGGAAGAATAGTCTATAGAGCTACAAAGTTATAATAATACTCCATTACATGTATAACTCGATTGTACAGTTAGGTTTAATAATTATTAATTTGATAATTATTCTTTGACAAAGGTTAATTAAAATAATACAAAATTAATCAAGATTTTGCATCTTTAATTTTCAAACATGTTGCTTGGTATTGAGTTCCATTAACAGCTGCCTCCTCCGCAGGCCCTCGTTGCGTCATGGGAAGGTCACGATCTGGCGAGGGCCTGCTGAATCTTGTAAAAACAATGGCGCCGGAGTCACGTCAGCAAGTAAATTTCTACATATCTTGAATACAAACAGATATAAAAAAGCGGTGTGAAACTTGTAAATTCAACTGGCGACTCTTAGGACGTGGAAGGAAGCATTTTTAACGATAAGGTTTCTTGTCCACACCAACGTTGCCCGAATAAAACTGCCTTCTTTAACGAAGCAGGTTCAAAACAACATTTATTCATTTTACAAGATTCCGCAGGCCCTCTCGAAATCGTGACCTTCCCATGATACAACGAGGGCCTGTGGAGGAGGCAGCATTAACAGTAACAGCAGTGGCATGGACTCATTGATGGGAAATTCTGCATCTCTATTGTTTTGACAATATTTTCATGACCAATTTTGTTGTTTTGACTTTATTTTGACAGTCAGTCCGGTTAGTATATCAGTATAGTTAGTATATAGCCATAAAATGACCTCCCGGTATAACTGAGATCTTGCTTTGTTTAAGTGAGATCTGATAAACTGAGCCAGTTAGGTTGTCCATACAAACTGAAAGGAATTTCCACTATAAAAATATTAAAATAACCACACAGCGAGGTCACGCTTATTGGGCTACCTGTCGCATTAACAGCCCTTAATTACATCAAGGACACCAGAAATATGGCAGAACTACAGTTATGGCCTTTTAAAAATACAACAAACTATCAGAGAGGACATAAACTACAATCGATATCCTAGATATAAAACATGCCTTCTCACTTCTCTCATCAGCTGCCCCTAACAGCTGACCTCTGTCCTGCACCAGTTCAGTGGGTTCGACAATTATCACAAGCTCAAGCATAGCAAAACCCTTATAAAACCTTAATTGGCTAAATCTATATAAATCCATAATTCTCTCTTTAGTATACCAGCACATCATAGTTTTATTTCATATGCCTGTATTGTGCAACTATTTTTCGGGATGTAGGGATGAAATTATCGCATACAGTTACAGTATAAGAATATAATGCAAAAATGTTTTTATCTACAAGTTACTACAACCACATTATAAACACTTGTGACTTATTTTCTTAAAGATAGAGTACATTCTACTACTTATTCCCAACATCTTTTCATGAAATACAAAAATTGTAATTTGAATTTTAAAATGTTTACCTGTTTATAGTGACCATCTTCACTATCGTTGTCAAGACAAAAATACAAATCAATTGTTTTTTCCGCCATCTTGAAAGCACTTTCTCCCAGGCGCTTCCTTCAGAATTTTCTCTATCCTCACGCGTGCACTCCCGCGCGCGCGTCACGCAACATCAAAGACATCAAAGCACCTGGGTACGAGGCTTAATCAATACCATTATCATATCCATGGCATGTTCGAAACATCTTCGTGGAAGTCCCCATTATACCTATTATAGTATTAAGGATTTGGAGGTACCCTAGAATATTACGTCATGCCAATGAATTCGCCATGTGGGGTGGCAAAATTACTGGCCGCAAACGGTAACGTAAATGCCTTGTCTGATCAACATGGTACCAACATAGAATCAAATAATTCGAATGGTAAATGTAGACAAATTTTCCGCACCTTCACAGGATCCATTAACTAGATAGGTACCAGGACTGTTGCAACGACAACGATATGTACCAGGGTAGTTTTTGCACGTCTGACCATCTTCACATTTCGCAGGACTTTGAGAGCACTCATTGATATCTGAAATAGCAGAAATATATACAATCAGTTTAGACGTATAGCTTAAAGAATTAGGCGAAAACAATCACGATTCGCATCATAACCACTCTCAAAAACCCTTTCTTTTCCAAAAAGACATTGCTCCCAAATTCCGAGATTTTCAACTTTCTTTCATAAGAAAAGAATTTACTCCTACACAAACTGGTAAAGGCGTCGTCCCGGTTGTTCGAAAGGCGTTTAACTCGCTAACCACCGCGTTTAATTCACTATCCGGCGAATAGAATTTGCACGCTTGATAAATTGCACTGCACAAAGTCAGTTTAGCGTCATCCACCTGTTAAGTCATCAAAAAATGGCGTTTAATTAGCTAACCATTGTCATTTAAAGTTACTCCACATGATGAAGTTCCGTCCCCCCCTCAAATTTGGCATTCACAACGATAAATCATTGCTGCTGCCACTACTTTAACAAAAACCTATAGACAAACTCAAGACAATAAAAACCACTCGGCCATTCCGGCCTTCTTTGTCGTTGTCTTTCGTGTTTTACAAATTCTCGAGAACAATAAAAATCGCTTGGTAAACAGCCTCGTGAATTCCATTGTTCTCGGGTGTTTGGAAACCCTGGTAAAACACTCGCACTCGTTTATGAAATATTTCATCCTTATTCCTGAACAAATGATCCTATTTGCCTGTGCTTTTATGACTTTTAATATTTTTCCTCTACCGTCATGAGTGCGAAAATTTTTTTCTCAAAATTCAAAGTTATTCAGACGTTTGACGACATTTATCAAACAAGGTGTCGGGGCCAAAAATGGGAAAACGTGGGTTGGACAGTATTTTTTGGCTGAATCACTTCCCAGGACATAAGTAACATAATATAATTAGAGAACATATAAAGATTGATTATTACACATGTTTTGCAAAGTAAAATATCCATAATATATTATATAAAATAGTAAAATATATATAGTATAACATACGGTATAATATAGCATATTATACAATACTTATATAATATAAAATACTTATTTATAATATTGTTATATATTCAAATACACATATTTCTTTGTACCTTCAAGGCATAACATCTCTCTGTCTTTCAGCAAGCACCAAACGTGTAGGATGCATTATATATTGAACACTTTTGTACAAGAAATTTTCCAGTTTAGAGTAAAACTTTTGCATAAAGTTCAGACTGATTCCCATGATTTTCAAAGTAAATATATTGTGTTTTCAAAACTATACTGCAGGCTAGTAGCTCACCTGCCTTACACTTCGTGTAACACATAGTATATTGATACAAAACATGGTTTCCATTTCGTATTTTTTCTACAAACTTCTGTTGGTCGACTTCAGTGTCTTGCCGGGTTTATGTTTACACTAAAGAAGTTATGCCAACAAAAAGTGCTAGAGTTTCAACAGAATGAACAATTGCGAATATTATGCGATTTATGGAACATTATTACAACAATGATCGACACTGTCACAATGATATGAAGGTAAAAACAGTGATGTTGAAACATGAAAATAATTTGGATTATTTATATGAGAGACAGGTAAGTTTCAGTTGTATGTCTTTTCATATGGCACAGAATTGCCAACTTGGAAAGTAAAATAGTGGTGTTTATGGACATCTGAGATATGCTATAACATAAAAGTATGTCTTTTGAATGTAAAAGACAAAAAAAAACACATCCAAAATGTTTTGTTATCTCTTTCCAAATATAACCAAAATGGGTTAAATATTAGCTATATTCGCCATTTTTGGATAGGCGGTGATATTCAATGGGGCCAAAAAACAGCATTTTGGATATGAATTTAACTTTTTGTTATTTTTAGGTTAAAGAAAGATAAAACTTACTAAAAATAAAACTTATAGGATAATGGCAGTTAATCGCCAGAATTTCTGAGGGGTGCGCCCTATCAGCGCACCCCCGGTCATATCAACATGAAAAACCTCGGTACAAATAGGGTTAAAGACCACAAACATTACCTAAAACTATCACAAAACGACAACTGTATAGTGAGTGGGGACTGTGCGGTATAATGTACTATTTAAAGCGCGAGCAGGAGTGCTTTTTCAGATATAAAACACGACAGCGCAGCTCGAGTCTTTTATCTGATAAAGCACGGACTTTAAATGGCTTAAACATAAAAGCCCGGTTCACATTTACCTACAGACACATGCGGTATGTCGGCGGGCTATTGAGTATTGTCGTTATGGTAGTTCAACCAAATAATTCACAAAAGAATTGCATCAACAACTGCTCTAAAAAGGTGTGAACAATGATAGCGCAGGCATACCGCAGGCATATCTGAACCAGGCTAAAGAAAGAGTAAAGTGCTTAGCTGATATTTTACTTCGCTTGAATATACTTCTTCGCCAAATTGCCTTTCTTTTGATTTTACTGAAGCGAAGTCGTTTAAGAGCGAATGTCTGTAAATATCGACCGGAGGCGGTCAAAATAAAAAATATCGAAAATTCTCAAAAAATGCCCAAACGTAGGCCTATTTTTATTTTAGGAGGAAAATGCAATTTTGTGTTTATACGCTCGACGATCACGATTTGAGACCGTTTCAACACATATCAGAAAAAAATTCCTAAAAATTCTCGTTTTGTTTAAAAAAAAACTATTTGCATCTAATGAAAGAATGATAATTTTGCTGCATTTCGAGTGTTAAACTTTGGAATTTGGACTGACTTTGAGTATTTTACAGAATTTTAAACTTGGACAATTTTTCGCATGGAAAAAATATGCTTTACTTCAAAGTCAAAATTTGCACTTTGGCATATGGATTCGGGTAAAATGACTATTATATAATTCGAACACTTCAATAAAATTTTTGGGCTACTGAAAAGATGCGATTTAAGAGCTTTCTCGTAAAATCCACTTGAAGGGTCAAATGGGTCGTCGCGAAATGGCCGACGAACTCACATGTTGACAGGATAAAAATCAACCACACGTTGGAATCGTCACAAAATGCTCCCTATTTTAGATATATGAATCTTGAACTAAGCAATAGAATAGTAAAAGTTTCACAAACTCTTGAGAGGAAAAAACATCGCTTACTAGCGTGATAATTTCAGTATTTAGTCTCCACATTGTAACTTGCCGACTTGGATATTGAATCAGCTATATCACATTATAAACAGTTCTTCTCTCTAAAATTGCAATAGATAGCCACAATTTACCTTTAGTTCTTGTACTTTATTTGAACCAGGCCAAATACTGGAGAGGGGAGACAAATCACTGAATTAATTAAGCTGTTTTGCATGCATATTTCCCACTAACTTTGGTCAACAGTATAAACGTCGCTTTGTAAACAAATCAGGTGAAGCATAATATCGTGTTATGCACAGAAACCCAATCTTCGGACAGTAGACATTAGATTCATTTCTGCAGCATGAAAGCAGAAATCATGAAATTGAAAGCGATTGCAGTATTGTGGTGGCAAGAATTTAACCTAGAGAGTAGAGAGTCGTAGTATTAATAACTTTTGGGTGCTCACGATGTTCTATTTTTATCTTATATGAAATTTGACGGCTTATTACTTTTCCCAACCTTTAAAAATAATTAATTTAAACATTAGATATAGTCCCGCGTTATGACTTATGTTGGTTTTTTTTCTCGAAATGTAAAACACATTTTGATCATTTATCGTCTATCGACTATTGCAAATATTCTTGTTTGCACGTGGTGAATTTTAAAAGATAACACACCCTGTTAGACAATTTGGCAGATATTGTGCAAATACTCATTTTGTCGGCGACCTAAGTGAGATGTGGGTAATATAGAGACGTCTTACTAATGTGTTTCCTGTCGTAAATTTATAAAACCTAGGGCTAGTATGTTATAATGTAGCTATAAATTATATTGCAGCTAAAAACTAACAGTTTGACAGTTGTTATATTATAACATTCAACTTCAAATATTGCAAGTTTGAGTATATACAATGCCAATGGCAATAAAATACAACTTTTGTGGACTAATTTGATCGTACTAAAAGTATAGATCTTCATTTATGCTAGAAGGTTATTTGCGTGCAGTACGAAGACACACTGAATTTGTGAGTGTACGGCAATAAAATTGAAAGAAAGTACAAACAATTAAACAAATATCATTGCTATTTATAGAAAGCCAAAATTATAGTCGCAACAAGTACCATATTGCCAAACTCCATGGCGGAAACTATTTATTTATACAAGGCAAATATTACAATATAGCGTGCCGGGTTTTATTCAGCCGTGATTAAATGCTCCGTCGACCTTTTCTTGGTTGATTCAGAACATGCAGGGTGTCAGGGGAACACATTTTTTTTCACGAGGGGTTTTCCCCAATTTTGTCTGAGTTTTTATTGGTCAATTTAACAAGAGTTTATTTAGGTTTTATCATACTGACCCAACGAGGGCCAGCGACACATGCAGGCACAGGCTACTTTAGGCTTAGCTGCCTTGAAACATTGCACTATTATTATTATTTTATTATCAAAGTCTTTATTGTCTAGAGTCACAACAGACGTGCAACTTTACAGATGTCAAATTCCTATTTGTTACAGTTAAAAAAATTGATCTATCCTAATTAATTATATAAAAGTTAAAAATAGTTAAAAAGACATCTATTTATAAAGGATCGTTTAAATCGCTCCGTTTTAATTTGAGGTAAAATAAAGTTATGTTCCCTTTGTCTTAAGATCCTTTGTTTACACACAGGAAGCAATTCATGTAGGGCATGTTCTGGATTCGATACGATTTTGCTGAATAATTTTCTGTCTCTCTCCTCGATCACTTCAGATATCTTAATACTCTTTGTCGTATATCCATAACGATAAGCCCGCCGGAAAAACTTGTCTATACGATCCAAATATTTCTTTTGGAGAGCAGAGCCCCACACTTGAATGCAATAATAAAAGAGTGACATGATTAGCGAATCGAATAATTTGCTTAGCTGATCTACAGAGTAACCATAGTATCTACACACTCTCAATATGTACATACGCCCGCTGGCCTTCGACAGAAGATCATCGATATGAAGATCCCAGCAACATGGATTTTCCTGAAATGTGACACCTAATAATTTCAACCAGCTCTTTCGTTCAATGCCTACAATCGATGCCGGTAACGGTTTCATGGACCCACAGTGCACAACCATTTCCCACGTTTTAGAAAGATTTAATGTCATTTGATTTGCGTCCGACCAATTCTGAATGCTTTCCACCTCAGCCTCAGCAGAATCCGATCCTGATTTTACTGGAGCACTTGTCGTTATATCGTCAGCAAATTTAACCAATAGGTTATTTTGCGCATCCATGGGTTTTATATCATTAACCATCAACGAAAATAGAAAGGAACCCAAAACCGTACCCTGAGGTACGCCTTTGTTGATATCAACATAAACAGTTTCTATGCCATCGACAACAACTCTTTGTTTTCTGTTGGCCAGAAAACTAATAATCCAGTTTATAGTATACCGATTAATTTCGAGTGTTTTCAATTTTTCACAAATAATGTTATGGGATACCGAGTCAAACGCTTTCTTATAGTCAAATGATGTTACCCTAACAGAGTCTGCACCTTCATCCAGCCACTTGAGCCAATGATGCAAACACATAATCAGAGTATCGGTAGTATTTCTTCCCTCTTTATAAGCAAATTGATCTCGTCCGATCACGGATTTGAATGCAGACGCAATCTCCTGTTTATAAACTACCCTTTCAAATAATCTCATAATGATGTTTGTGAGCGATATAGGCCTCAACTGATTACACTCTGTCAAAGGAGATTTTTCGGGTATAGGGTTCACATTGGCGAGCTTCCACATCAGGGGGACACATTGTTGTTCGATTGAGAGATTGAACACTTTGGTAATTATGGGCGCTAAAAGTTGTGCAAAGTCTTTCCATAACCAATATGGAAGCCCATCAGGACCTGGCGCTGTTCGTTTTAGTTTCGTCAAAAAATTAATAACAGTAGGCTCATCAATGGTAGGAACTCGGGTACCTATAGGAATTGGTATGAGTTGGGGGGATATGTAGTTCGCATCCGTGTTTACATTTTGAAAGTACGAGTTCATATGTTGTGGATCGATGACTGAGCTAATATTGCTGTTCTTGCTTTTTCTACCAGTAATTCTATTCACAGTATCCCACCACTTTTTGGATCCAAAACTATTTTTTCTATTCTCATCATCAACGGAACGAACAAGATTTTCACGAATTAGCTCATCAATACGTTTTTGCAGATCATTATTGACTCCCTGCGTTATGTTCTTATTCCTTATCTTACATAAGTGTTTGAGTAAAGGAGACATATATGGTGGGTCACGTGTTGTCATTTTTACTTTAATTAACGGCAAACAGTCATTAAACATGTTGGTGATAGTGTCATTTAATAGAGTAACTGTATCATTGACATTATTGAAATTATAAATGTGACTCCAATCACATGTCTCCAATTTCCTCATCATGCTGAATTTCCGATGAGCTCTTACGTCTCTAAAGTAGACATCCTTTCTTTCGGGTTTTATAGCTTGTCGCGGGGAAACCATGACAACCAAATGGTCAGATCTTTCTAGACCTTTGAAAACCTTTGATTTTTCCCAAAGATGTGGACAGTTGGTTAAAAATACATCCAAAATTTTATGATTTCGGGTAGGCTTCTTGACTAATTGTTCCAAGTTGTGCTGACTGATAAGGTCCTTTGTTTTTAATTGATTAATGTCTCCTGCTATAATTATTCTTGCATTGGGCTCAGGATAAAGAATCTGTTCTATAGTTTCAGACAAATGATTTGGTAACTCAGTCTCAGGATAAATGGGGTCAGGTGAGTGGTATACTGAAGCTACGTAGTATTTACTATTAGGTGTTACAATTTCACACCAAACACACTCAACGTTGTTGTCAAAATCCAGATTTTTAACTTTCCAGTCGTCTCTACACAGAACAGCCACTCCGCCCCCCGACCGCGAGTCACACCTGTCTTTTCTGACAAAAACGTAATTGCCGAGACACACCAGGCTTGACGGAATTTTGTCGTTTAACCATGTCTCAGTAATGAAACAAATATCAATGTTATTAGTGCACAACTCAACGTTTAGGGAGACAGCAGCATCAGATTTTGCTAGAGAACGAGCGTTAGGGATCTCTGAGTTCAAGTTCGTATCTCCGAAGGCTGCAATCCTGGACAAAAGTGTTGGGACACTCAACCGAGGGGGGTTCGGTTTGAAAGAATATTTTTCGTTAAATCGGCTTTCTCTGAAGAGAACAATAAAAACATGCGAAAATTTTGGGTTGTCGCAAGGATTTTTGTCCAGGATCAATCCTGGACAAAAGTGTTGGGACACTAAACCTTTTCTACCCTTAAATTCTAAAGACAACACCTCATCCCCTCCCCCACCCCAATTCAATGTTGGAAGTTCATACAATTTTAGTTAAGGATGCCCCCAAAATCAACATTGAACGGGGGAGGGGAGGGGGTTTCGGTTTGAAAGAATATTTTTCGTTAAATCGGCTTTCTCTGAAGAGAACAATAAAAACGTGCGAAAATTTTGGGTTGTCCCAAGGACTTTTGTTCAGGATTGTGAGTTTCTGTGCCTAACAGTATAACACAATATACTTCACCTGGTTTGTTTACAAAGCGACGTTATACAGTTGACAAAGTTGGTGGGAAATATGCATGTAAACCATTTGTCTGCAGTATCTGGCCTGGTTCAAACACAGTTAGTCTATTAACTGTGGTTCAAATAAAGTACAAGTACTAAATGTAAATTGTTACTATTTATTGCAACTTTAGTGAGGAGAACTGTTTGTAATGTGATAGCTGATTCAATATCAAAGTCGGCAAGTTGTAATATGGCGACTACTGAAACAATCATATATTAAGCGATGTTTTTCCTCTCAAGAGTTTGTGAAACTTTTACTATTCTATTACTTAGTTCATTAGGATTCATATATCTAAAATAGGGAGACTTTTGTGACGATTCCAAAGTGTGGTTGATTTTTATCCTGTCAACATGTAAGCAACCTCGTACCCAGGGCCTTTGTGCGGTTCAGAGGGTCTGGTACGGGAAGCAAAGGCTCTGGTAAACACTGGTCACGTGTGTCCAAAAATATTGGACATTTCGTAATAATTTAGTTTTCAACCCGGGGGAAGCGGAGCCGATTGATTTTGTCAAACATGGCAGCGTGAAGGCGCGACGTTTTCGGGTTTTTTTTTATTTTACGATAAATAAAACTTTCCTAGTGAGATCTAAAGTGGGGTATATATTAAAACTATGCATTCTACGGATGGCGTCATATTTCCGCCAAAATTAAAGATCGTATTCGCAACATTATAGTTCGTACTCGCAACATTATAGTTCGTATCCGCAACATTATAGTTCGTATTCGCAACATTATAGTTCGTATTCGCAACATTATAGTTCGTATTCGCAACATTATAGTTTGTATTCGCAACATTATAGTTCGTATTCCCAACATTATAGTTCGTATTCCCAACATTATGTTCGTATTCCCAACATTATAGTTCGTATTCGCAAGTTGAATTTTGGCGGACGAAGGTGTCAAATCTCCGCCAAAATTCAAGTTTGTAAATTAAAGTTCATATTTGGAAAAATTCGCTACAAGTGGAAACACTGAAAAGCAACAGTGCTTGGGGCTTGGGTTCTCTCATCCAGCTGCGACTTTATACTGTTATCTTTTGGCAGTTTGCCTATTAAAATGAATGACGACGATATAAATACGGCGAGGGTTGAGGGAAGCGCTTTTGCAGGTGGCAGATTGCCGATATATACGACGTGTGATTTAGGCCCCAGTTAAGCCTATTTTCCACCAACGAATTTCTTCGCGCGAAGCGAATTTTCTATTGTTTAAATTAAAAAGAATTGATTAAAAATCTAATTAGTCCCAGCCGAGAGCTCATAATACAAAAGATTCGAGCGAACAAATTCGCTAGTGGAAAACAGGCTTTTATAGCCTGATTCCACGAGGCGGAATTTTTCGACCGAAACGAAATTTCTCTTTGTCTTTTTACAATTAGTTCTGCTTGAGAGCTCATGAAACAAAGAGAAATTTCGATTCGTGGAATCAGGCCTTTACACGGTACTGGATGAATCAGGTATCGTTTATATATACCGATATCGTATCGTATTTAGGGGCGGACCATTTGATTTTTTTTTTGGGGGGGGGGTGGAAGATTCAGACTGTGCAAGAATTTTTTTCCGCCCAGGGAACAAGACAGGTACTTTTTTCCTGTAAAAGTGCAGTGCAAGATGTTTTCCTCCAATATGTTTCGCGGCAAAATATTTTTTTGCGCTTTCATATAGCTATCGTCAGAGACGTAGCCGGGGTTTTCAATCAGAGGAGGCCGAGAACTGAATTCCAAGAGGGGCCAAGGAATTGTCACTGTGCTTTATTTTATATGGATATGTCTTAATGTTCCCCACACTAAAGCGTGCATGTTTACTTACAAAAAATGTATAACTGCATCAAAACCTAAAACATGCAGGGATAGAGTAGAGTACTCGAAAATGGGGGAGGAGCAGTATATGAATGCCTGTAAACTTGGGGGGTTCAGGGGCATGTTCCCCCGAGAAAATTTTAAAATTTGAACCTCGGAAATGCTATTTCCTACGTTTTCAGCCATGGATTCGTCCAACAACTTTGCTGTACTAAGCCTAAGGAACACTTACTGTCCTTTATTTTAAACAATAATGGAAAATCACAAAATGAGCTTTGATTAATATGTAATAAAACAAGATTTCAATAATGCGATCTTTAACTGCCCTCCGAAACAACAATGTTCCACCCATAGATACATACATACATACAAAAATTTATTTAAGCACGCTGGCCTCAACAACTCGGAGCTGATTTCCATGAGGGGCGTGATTTGGAGAAATATACAGTACAGGTAAACATTAAAAATACAAAAACAAAGAAAGAAAAATTACATATACAGTAGGCAACAGGACGAGCCAATTTTAAGTGTTTGCCTGATTAATAGTTATTTGAAAAGAACTTAAAGATTCCGCTACTTTTACCTCATACGGCAAATTATTCCATACTACTGCTCCGTTATATTTGAAGCATCTTTTACCAGAATCAGTATTCGGTTTATGAAGAGACAAATCGGTTTATCTATTTCTAAGATCATAGGTATTGTCACATTCATTATTCAATCGAAAGGATTTTCTTAGATTTGGTGCGGTGTGGTTATTCAGAATTTTATACATAAAAACAGATTTTAGATAAGTTCGCCTTAGTTCTAGGTGTTTCCAACCCAGGCTTTCAAGTAAATCAACCGACCGAACATCGTAAGTCGCAGTAGAAATTACTCTTGCAGCCCGATTTTGAAATTTCTGCCACCTGTCCTTGAGGCCTGTTCCACAGTTGTCCCAGAGAGGGCTGCAGTAATCAAAGTAGGGCTGCACAAAAGCATTGTACATCAATTTTAGTGTCGCAGACGATACAAAGGGCCTAATACGTCTTATTGCACCGATTCCCGCACTGACTTTTGAACATATCATATCAATATGTTTTTCCCAGGTCAATTTTTCGTCAATGTTGACACCAAGGCAAGTATAATTTTCAGTCCTGGGTATTGGAACGTTATTAACAAGAATTGGGTTACCAGATACCTTATGTTTAATATTATACGCTGATCCAATAAACATATATTTCGATTTTGTCGGATGAATTTGGAGCTTATTTTGTAGCATCCATTTTCGAATATTTTCAAGATCAAGGTTTATTTTAATAACAATGTCATCACAATCTGTAGAGGATAGATAAATTTCTGTGTCATCTGCGTAGAGGGATGGAG